TGGCCCCTGCCACCGGCCCCTGCTGCACCGGGGCTCCCGGCTGCCGTGGCCCCTGCCGAGAGAGAGAGAGAGAGGGGAGAAGAAAGTCACGTCGGCAAGCGCTTTCCTGCCCACAAAGGAGGGGTGCGGGGGGTGGGCTGAAAGGAAGGCTGAAGAGAGGAAGGCTCGCAACGAGGAAGGGCTGTAGTGGGGCGGGCACAGCTGCCTCGGTAGGTGCAGGCAGCGCGGAGGAGCAAGGGAGACGTGAGAGCTGGCTGCTCGACAGCATGGCCGGGGAGAGGAGGTGTGCGAAGGAGCCGTTGGGCCAGAGGCGAGAGTGGGGCAGGGGGAGGGGGAGCCGGCCGTCCTGGAGCTTCTTAGCCTAGAAGGTAGAAATATATAAGTTTTACAGGGCAGCAGATACAGTACCAACTGCAACACTGATGAATAAATGCAGGACAATTTGCTTTTGAAGGAATGTTTCCTGCAGAAGAAACAAGGAGTTTCCAGGCCCAAGCAACGCTCTGGACAGCCCTGGGGCTTTCCTGGTGGGAGGCAGGATTTGGGGCCTATGCTGGGGCAGGGCAGCTGCACCAGAGCAGCTGGTGCTTTGCAGCAAAGGCAAAGTGCGTTTGTATGTCCTGGGCTGCCTTGCAATGCTGCAAACACTGGGTGCCATGCGAGCCTCGGTTGATCCTGTTTTTTTGCCTGGCCCATTTCTCTTGCTTGCCTTTGGCCCCACAAATAAAAGATGCCCACACATGGTAAAGAAAGCAAGCTGCTTCTCTGGGGAGAGCGTAACAGTGAGGTGAACTTGCAGCACAAGGCCAGGGAGGGCTGTGCTGGACCGGGGAAAGCTAGTGTCCAGGTAGGGGAAGATTCTAGGAGTGCCTCGGGCTGTGCACCACACTCAGGGGTGCTCCGTGTGTAGAGTACGGAGCATTTGGGAGCGTGCTAAAAATAGAGCCATGCCCTGCAGGAGGCCCCCACCTCTGCTATGGTCTCCAAGAGCAGAGCAGAGCAGAGATCAAGGCCACAGAGCAAACGGATTAGCTGGAAACTGCTGGTCAGGTGGTCCGCAGACACCTCTGAAATACCCGCCTGCCCTCCACACAGGGACACGGAGCCCCCACCCTGCTCCTGCCTCTGCCCCTGTCCCTGCCTTGCAGCTGACCGTGACCCTACCCCTGCCCTGCTCTGGCCTTCTGCCCTGCTCAGCAAGGCCGGGGCAGGCAGCAACAGGGAGTCCCCCATGAAGCGGCCCTGCCTGCCCCAAGGTCAGCCTTGCAGCATGAAGAGCATCTCCCCCAGCACCGTCTCCACCACCTGGGCTGGGAGACCATAACCACGCCCACACGGCCATGGCCCAAAGCAGGCCCAAAGCACTGAGCCAGTGGGGCCACCTCAGGCACAGCGCCATGGCCTGGGCAAGCCCCCGGGGACCCAGGCTGTCCAGTAGCGCTGCTCCTGACTGATATCCCCACCCCAGGAATGCCTGGAGGACCCTGCAGAGGCAGACAGAGCACGGTCAAGCCCGGCCAATGGGCGGGGCGAGAAGGGCTGAGGGTGCCAAAAACAAAGCAGGGATCCTGCCCTGCCTGGGATCTTATGGCCATGCCACAGCACAGGGTCACCTGGGACAAGCATACAGCAAGCAACAGCTCTCTGCATGTGACCCAGCAGTTTCCTGGGAATAGAGAGAAGCCTCCACGCTCTGCATGTCCTCACCTGGAGAGAGGGAGAAGATGCCACAGCTGCAGGCACCGAGAAGGCTGTTGTTCTGGGTGTTCTCCAGGACTGGCCTCACTTTGCTGCCGGGAGGCAGAGGCTCTCATTGCACACAGGGCTGGAAGCGCTACTCTGAAACCCGCCAGTGTGGATGTGTCTATTGAGGCGGTAGGGCCAGCAGTGGCCCTGCTGCTGGTCGTGGAGCCCTATGGAGAGGTTCCTCCTCTGCCAGGAATATATAGGCTCAGGACAGAGCGGACAGTCTAGGCCAGTGTGGCGTGACACCTTCTCCTCTTCCTGCCTCCCCTCCTGAGCAAATATCTGGGAGAGTGGGAAGCCCCACAGTCAGGCTGAGAGCAGGGCATGGCAGAGGCCCTTCAGGCAACACCGTCCCACTGCTCCCAGGGTGCCGAGCGCCTCCAAGCCTGGACAACTGCAGGTGGGATTGGGCTACGAGGAGGCCATAACCAAGGCAGTTGATGGGGAAGGTAGCTCCTTGCAGTGATGGAAAGCATGCAGAGATGTATAGGCACAAGCCAACAGGCACTCAAAGACACATGCATGCACGCACATGCATAAGAACCCATAGGCCTGCATGCAGTCCATCACACCTTCTAGTACACAAACACAGTCCCACAAACACTAGTGCATAAGATCACACGGCAGGGGAGGGAGGGAATGCCAAGAGGACCTCCCAGAGGAGGAACTGAGGAAAGAGGACTGGAGTGCTGTGTGCAGGACAAGGCCCCAGACAAGCTGACAGCACTCTTTGACGACTCTGAGGGACTGCCTGCCCCAGAGAGAGGAGGAAGACCAACAGGTCGGCAGATTTCTCCTGAGAGCTGCATTAGGAAGAAGAGACATGAAACCCAGCAGTGCAGCTCGCCTGCCTGCGCAGGTGAGCATTAGTGGCCACTGGAGGGAGCTGGGAGGGAGGAGGAGAGAAGGATGTGTCACGTCCTCACACACAGGAGGCCTTGGGCATCCATCCAGGGACTGCAGGGTGAGGAGCAACTGCACCCCTTCCTGAGAATGGGACTACAAACAAGGCCACGGGAGTGTCCCAGGGTGCGACATTCCCAGGGAGAGGAATGTCACAGCCCTTTTCTGCTCCTCGCCCTGTCAAAATCTCCCTGCCCTACAAGGACTGCTGAAAGGAGGGTGCTTGTCAGCCCCTACAGGAGGCACCAGTGGCAGGGACTATTGTTCAGTCAGAGCCCTGACTGAATGAGCCCTGATGATCCGGCACTCCTGGTTTCAGCCTCTAGAAAGGTCTGGGTGAATAAGTCTCTGCTGCAAGAGCTGCTTTCACGCTAATGCCCTCCTGTGGTCAGCCTGCACTGAGGTGGAGTGGGGTGGTGGGCGGCGAAGGCTGTCCCAGGGGCTGTCAAGCACACCAGGAAGCCTTGGTCCATGTCCTTTGCTCCTCCCCACCTCAAGGATTTTCCCCTTTCCAGGGGCCAGGGCTCCAAGTCCCAGGGAAGAAGATTTGTGCTGGCACCCTTATGTTCTCAAGACGTGCATCCTGCCCTTGATTTGGGAAGAAGCCCTGTGCAGCGAGGGAAGAAGTTTTGGGCGCGGGACTGCAAGACTCAAGGGAGTCTCCTACCAGTTCCTTCCGGTCCTTGGTGCTGTACAGACAAGACACATCAGAGCAGCCCACATGCTCTCTCTACAGCTCACAGCAAGCATAGTCCCATCCTGGGGTGTAGGGGGACAACAGAGGCTCTTTCACCAGCTGCTTCTTCCTGTGAGGCCATTGACACCAGTCCCTTTCAGAACGAGGATCTTGGCCTGCAGATCCCTGGGTATGGAGGGAAAAGAGCGGTACCAAGGGAGAGCTGAGGGCTCCTGCCTCAGAGCTTGGCCTGGCCTAGAGGCACCCCTGCCCCCTTTCCCGCCCCAGGTTTTTGCACAGCTCAGGAAGCTTCCTGCGCCAGGGTGTCTTGCACAGCACAGAGGTACAGGGCAGCGTCGGAGACCTTGACTTCCTCCAGTCGCAGGAGGCTGTATTTCCCCGTGGTGTTCAGCCATGTGGTGAATCGGCCACTCTCCCTGGGGCCAGCTGCTGCCTGATTTGAGACCAGCTGGGGGGCTTGGCCTCTCCTCTGCTGGTACCAGAGCAAGTTATTAAAATAAGAGGTCTGATAGGTGCAGGTGGTCTGGAAGGTGCCCCTCTCCTGCACTGTGACTGGTCCCTCTTGCTGTGTGACGGTGGTCTGGCCCATGGCACCTGGAAGAAAGTGAGAGTCAGGGACTGTGCAGGGAAAAGGCTTCAGGATGCAA